ACAAGATCAGGTGTTTGGAAAAATGCCACGGGTGGTTTTTGGCCTGTTGCCTTGAGTGTGAGGCCTGCTTTCTTGATCTCGATCCTGAGTACAACTTTCTGCAATGTGCTAGTCCAAAATACTTGGAGGGAAAGTCATTGGCAAGCGCTGTTACAAACTCGGAACCCTGCGAAACACAACAATGTTGGGCCCCCACTACTGTAGATCATGTTCTGGATGGCGGAACTCTAGATCTGTCTGAAGATGATACACATGGCACAAATGTCTGCAGGACACAAACATACACGTTTGTCTACTCGTTTCGCGCTTCTTCAGGGAGTGTTGAGGGTCACAATGAGGCGTCAACTCAAACTGACCTAGTTGCAAAACAAACTCACGACACTACAGCAGCTGATGATCGTTTTACCGAATTTGGTCCTACGACAAAAACAACAAAGATCTCACAATCAGAGAAGAGCGGCATTTTACAGATTATCTTCATCTCGTTTGTCAGTTTTCTGGGGCTGAGTTTCATCTCCGTAGTGACAGCCAAGATCATTAAGTCCAGGATTTCAGATGACAATGTAGCTGCTGCCCAAAACAACACAATGCTGTATCACAACAGAGCTGCCATTCACGTGCCAAACAGTACCTACTTCCCGGGTCTCGCCCATGTAATTCCACCCATTGAAAACAGCGCTTATAATGTTAACGTGAACCCCAATGTAGCCTCACTGCAACCTGAATCTCTGACTCAAATAATCCCACCAATAGAAAACGCTCTCTTTGGCGGAACACAAGACTCGGGGACAGTACCAGGCAACAGTGATTCTGCTCCATCCTCGGTCCTTCAACTGATTCAAGGCAGCTCTAAAGATGGAAACCGTCTGGGCATAGCATCTTTACAGACGTTTCCTTGTGCAAAAAGCTCACCGATACAGAACTTTTCTTATTGCGGAGCACAAGGCTCAGTAACAGTGCTGGACAACAACAATTCGGCTTCATCCAGTGTCATTTCGGTTCAAAACAGCCCTAAAGTCGGAAACCGTCTGGGCATAGCTTCTTTACAGGCGTTTCCTTGTGCAAAAAGTTCACAGATAGAGAACTCTTCTTTTGGTGGAACACAAGGCTCAGGGAAAGTAATGGTCAACAATGATTATGCCCCATCCCCAGTTCTTCAAAACAACCCTAAAGTCAACAATAATTCTGCTTCAACCAGTGTCCTATCGGTTCAAAACAACCCTAAAGTCGGAAACCGTCTGGGCATAAGATCTTTGCAAGCATTTCCTTGTGCAAAAAGTTCACCGATACAGAACTTTTCTTATTGCGGAGCACAAGGCTCAGTAACAGTGCTGGACAACAACAATTCGGCTTCATCCAGTGTCATTTCGGTTCAAAACAACCCTAAAGTCGGACACCGTCTGGGCATAGCATCTTTACAGACATTTCCTTATGCAACAAGTTCACACATAGAGAACTCTTCTTATGGCGGAGCACAATGATCAGTGTCAGTGCCAGTCAACGATGATCATGCCCCATTCCTGGTCCTACAAGGCAGCTGTAAAGTCGGAAACAGTCTGGGCATAACATCCTTGCAGGCATTTCCTTGTGGACAAAGTTTACCAACAGAGAACTCAGCGTATAGTAGAGCACAAAACTCTGATGCTTTGATGGACAACGTAACAGTGAGGAAATGAACAACGTCTATGAGGAGGTTCTCTGAAAACGAATTCAATTTTTTAAAAGTCTACTTGAATATCAATACTATTGAAGTATAGTTGGCAACCTTGTTTGAGAACAGAACTAGTTTTTATTTCATGATTATCAACTATGTAACTTTGTAAAGATAAAGTGGTCGATTGTATTCTGTTCTGAGTTTATTGATGATTTATGCAACATCTTATTTGCTATGTGTCAAATATATATGTTAGATGAGTAGATGGCAAGCACCTAATTGTGATATTATCAACATATATGTAAATGTATGTATTAAGCTGGTATCACTTCAATAGCAATTCTCTTCCCTTTACCATTGCACACGAAATGTGATTGGTTGAAAAAATGTGTTTGCCCGAGATGGTCACCCGTTAAGTATGTGTTGATTTTAAGGTACATTAATGTCAATGTTTTAATTTGAGACGGTGTTGTGTTCACGAAAACAGCAGGTAGAAACTATCAGCTCACATATCAATGTTGGACTAGTGTTACGAAAGTTTTTTTCTTTACCCAGACAAAGTAATTTCCTTCGCATCGACGTATCTAGGACACACGTGTACACGTCGGGCCTTGGGTATGAAACGAGGTTAGGTAGTCTGAAGCCTTGGCCCTTTTTATAGAAGTTGTTTATTGCAAATTCCTGCCCGAGGGCTAATTGCATACATTGACAAGAAAATGTGGTGATACATGTATAAGACTATTTGCTGACAGGAACTTCTACGTGTACGATATACTTATCGAACCTACTATCTCTACTTAAATCTAATAACGTTGGTATACATACAGGATAAAAAAGTAAATATGCAATATGTGAACAGGTAATAGGAACAATGTAACTGCTATTCTAATCTATTCTATCTTATTCAACTATTCTTGTCATGCTATTAGGGGGTTTGACTTCTTCTCAGGAGGCAGTGGGAGATGAATTGTCCGACTCTTTGAAAAATAAATGGGTTGGTGGACTTTAGCAATAATATAGTCTTTTGTTGTTGGTTGAGATATGAAAAACTTGGGGAAATATTGGCGACATCTTTGAATAACTTTTTTCTTTCAAAATCGTAATGAGGACACTGACAGATAAAATGCATTTCATCTTCCACTGCTCCCTCTGTACGTTTTACGTTATGAAAAATGCATGAGGTAGTCTAAAGCCTTGGCCTTTGTTTTCATACATTACACAAGTTTTTAAAGGTTTGATTTCACCGTTAACCAGTTGATATCAACCCTGTACTAGATTTCTTTTCCAACATAGTTGTCATACATGTAACTTCACAAGTCCGTCATATCCAAGACCCCTTTTAGAACACCGTGTTTAAAACGAACTGTGCTGTACAAAATATGTGTATGTGTAATAAGTTGGAATGAATCTCAAGAAGGTGTACATGGGTCTTATTTGTTTCAAACCTGCATTGTATGGGATGTGTTGATCGATGGGTATATATAAACCATGCGTTTATACACTGGGCAAATGTTGTGGCTTGATTCTTGACCGTCATGTGTTACAGAACTAATGTTGATGACACTTGAATGGGGTTGGAGCTATCGTACCAAGAACCGTGCCTATCTAGTCCCTTATGCCTGTATGGGTTAGGGTTAGGATCAGACACGATTCTGGATAGTTTCCGCGTATACAAGAAAGTAGATTTGCCCCAGGCACGGTTCTGGATATTCTCCGCATGTCCAAGAACTACTAGATTTGCTCCAGGCACGATTCTGAATAGTCTCCGCGTATACAAGAACTACTAAATTTGCCCCAAGCACTATTCTGGATAGTCTCCGCGTGTCCAAGAACTACTAAATTTGCCCCAGGCACGATTCTGAATAGTCTCCGCATGTCCAAGGACTACTAGATTTGCCCCAGGCACAGTCCTGAATATACATGGACTACCCGGAACCGACCATTATGCATATTCACAGTCCAGTTGTGAGGTCAGAGGTACGCCATAGTGCTTGATTAGGCTGTATAAAGGGATATACGGCCATACAGCCAGGACTGCCCAACTAGTTGGATGCTATTTTTAAGGGATAGCCGTGGTAACGTGACAACAACATACAATACGAACGGTTATAATGCTGATATTTTAGGCCTGAACGCTGACATAGTAGTAGCTGATTTATAGTTATAAAGTCCAAGCTTGCTCCAACACAAGGACCAAGGGCTCCAACACAAGGAGATGAATTTTCGTCAAACGTAGATTCGGAGCAGGACCACTTTTTTGAGGGGTGTGAAGGAGGTAGTTTACATCAGGGCCCATCACCCCTCTCTGAACCGTGATGGTGGTAGGTTCCGTCTTCGTCCTGACGTCATCACGCTTCCGACTTCCGGAGAGTGATCAGCGAGTGCATTCATCTGACAAAGGTTGGCGGGATCAGCCGAAAAATTATGGTGAGTTCTTTCCTTGTGTTGGAACAATCTTGAACTTTATAACTATGGATTCTGTAAGAAACAGGAGGAACCACCAGTAAAAACCCTTCTGGTCCCGGGCCGGGGTTCGAACTCACGACCTCCCGGGCACCAGAGCTTCATAACCAGACGCTCTAATCTCTCCGCTAAAAGGTCTAGACCCGTTTGTCGGATCTGTTGGTAGCGCCTATAGCCCCCCCCCCCACTGTTACAATTCTACCAACACAGATGAGCTTTCATTCGAGTGCCTGTTTTGATTGAGCTGACTGTTACCATGATTTTGTGCGGGCAGAGGCGACGAAAAGATCATCGAGGGTGAAGGCTACGCAAGGCTGCTGACGTCATAGAGAGAAGCAGACAGGTGTGAATGTCGGTCTCTTTCATCGACATTTTTGCTCTAACTTCAATTGTTCTACATTGGAATCGCGACCACAGTGACAGACATACAGTATGGTATCTGTATCAGTATAGCCGGTATAACCGCCATTCGGAAAAACACACCAGCTTCTGTATCTGTATAGCCGGTATAACCGCCCATCGGCGTAACACACCAGCTTCTGTATCTGTATGGCCGGTATAACCGCCCTTCAGCGTATTGCACTGGTGTATCTATATCTGTACAGCCGGTATAACTGCCATTCGGCGTAACACACCAGCTTCACAGGCACGCGGTGCGGCAGCAGTTGGCTATATTACACCCAACGACTTGTTACACCTAATCCCTGAACATCTAACTCTGAACATCGACTAAAGCTATCTAATGTAACCACGAATCACAGCCTGTCTGTTGTGCTCTGTAGCCATAGAAAAACAACCACCGAACAATTCATGCCAACATAGGTTGCTCCTACACGACTGTGGTGACTCTAGTAGTACGTAAACAATGCCCCATACAACACAGATGAATACGCAGAGTGCGTTCGTCGCCTCGGTTGTCCTGACTTGGATGTCTGCCTGTATTGTAGACTGTGCCTTGCCACAAGGGTGTATGAAACTACCTCCTGCCAGACGTGAGGAATTGTTAAATCCAGGGTTGATGATTACATGTTTCCGTAACAGAGACAATACCCTCCCTCAAGGCTTGCCATCGGGAACAACGTATCTACACGTTTCCTACAGCAGATTAAGAAAACTAACCTTCATTCCAGAACTTAAGAATCTGACGTCACTGAATCTAAGATGGGACGATATCGAAATTGTTGACTGGCTTCAACTTCGCAATTTGCCAGCGATAGAATATCTGCAAATGGCTCACAATAAAATCTCGCACGTTAATCTCGGCGTCGTTATAAAGTACCTTCCAAATTTAGGGGCGGTCGATTTTTCAAGCAACAGAATCAAATCTGTAAGTGCGGAGGAGCTGGGACTTCCCTCTGTACGAATAGTGCGTATCCACTACAACCCTCTTGATTGTGACTGTAGATTGAAGTGGTTGATTGACAAGATGAAATGTGTGCAACAAAGTATCGAGTCGCAGTCAGGTTTCTTTTCCAAATGTGGACCCGGCCTTTTCGCCTCGCTGCCTAGCCAAAAAGGTCTTCTCTGCAGCACTCCAAAACACATGGAAGGGCTGCCTTTGGCGAGTGCCAACATCTCTATAACAGCATGTGAAAACCAAAGGACTTCCGTATCAACTACAACAGATGCATCTTCTACGAAAGAACATCATGATCGCGGAGTATTGGCCACTCAGTTTTCCCAAACTATTAGTGCACCACCTTTTGGTAAAAATAAAACTGGAACCCCCTTATCCATACGTACGTACACACCAGAGCGTGTGAGTTATCAGACTAGGTTTTTGACAAGAAACAGGTCCCTACAAGCTACATCGCCTGTCGTGGGTTTTGCTACATCAAAAGAGCCCACCCAATCCCAGCCAGTAGAAAAGATAGGGATAGTGCACATTGTAGTCATCGCTTTAGTGAGTCTTTTAGGGTTTTTCTTCACCGTAGGTTTGTTAGTTAAGATGAGATTGTCGATTCGATCCTGGAAATCCGAAGATAATACAGCCAGAAACAACATCATGATGCAACCAATTTGTTATCCGTTCCAAAACGCTGCTGCTGACCCCAGAAACTGTCATACAGGGCAGTTGATACCACAGTTGAACTCTACAGATATCTGCCTCGCTCAAGTCATACCACCCATTCATAACGTTGCGTACAAAAGAACTGGGAATGCACGAGTACAAAATGTACCTCAGACAGTAAGTTCCATGGCCAACGTGGTACCACCTATTGGTGCACGCCGTGGTACTATTAGTACCTCGGTGACAATGCTTGGTACCAATGATGCTGCATTGTCAGAGGTACTTACATCAGCTGCTCAAAATAGCACTAATTTCGGACATTGTTTCGGTGTAACACGATTAAAAACAACCCAACACGACAGGATGCCGACTACATCCTCGGGTATTACTCGAATAATGAGTGGACCCAATAGCACGATTCAGTCGCGACCTTTACCAGACTTACCTACAACAATGACTTGCGACAGAAAGCCAACTTCGCCCTCGGTTGTGGGAGAGAAGACTGGGAAAAAGTTCTGTACACGACCCTTGCCAGAACTACCAATAACAATGGGTTGTACCAAACGTGGCGGAGTTTTTATTGATAATGAAACTCAAGAAGACGCTATGTCTGAACATGATTATGCTAGAATACACGATTATGAAGAAGTGCGTTGAAAGCCAAAAATATGGTGTTTTTGTGGTTATGGTGAATCTGAAGATTCTGGATTTAAATCCATGTCTAACTCCACTACTGAGCAATTGGGAAAATGCACCTTTCGTATATTTTCTTCAATGTGTAAAGAGAACATGACAAGGTGGGAATCAGTCTTAACATAGGGTTGTCGACTTAGAATCAGAAGGTTCTGGGTTCAAATCCCTGTCATGCCCCACTGCTGTGTAACTTGGAAAAGGCACTTTTCACACGTTTTCTTTTTTCAATGTGTGGAGACAACACGAAATGGTAGAACTGGAAATTAGTCTACACAAAGATGTGTCCTAGTTTTACATCAAGTCACGTTATTGTGTATCCTCCCTGTCCTCGTTTCACAAGGCTCACGCGCGTTTTAACTAGAACAAATTTATTTAGGGCAAGTTGTTTCCCAGAAATATTGTAATATTCATAGGAAAGAAAGCAGGAAATTACCCAAATAACAAATGTAGGCGTAAACCTGTTTGTTATTTCACAAGACACGCGCTGCCGCGTAGTGTTTTAACTAGACCAATTTTATTTAGGACATGTATATTATAATATTCATAAGAAAGAAAGCAAGAAATCAACCAACAAGAAATGTAGGGCGCCACTCGTATCTTAATTCAGTCCACGACATCGCACGTTGTGAAGAGAGCCACTCTTTGTATCAAGAATATTTTCTTTTTGAACTGGTAACAAAGTTGATGTTTAGGCTTTCCACTGACTAAATACCAACTGAATCAAGAAGACGCCTAGCGAAGGACACCTGACACCATTCTGCGAAGGATTGGAACCGAAAAGCGCAGAAGAACCAGAAATACGACAGGTCTGTACTTTAAAGTCGTCTGATGTTTGTAAAAAAAGAAACTGAGAATCTTGCCATCCATGCTCTAGACATTATGCTTCTTAAACGTTGCGGATTTTGTGGTAAAGCAAGACGGAAGGACAGACGTTTAGCCGTTTTCCTTGTCTTATTATTCTGCCTGATGCCTTGTGAGGGAATAACAAACAACGGCTGTGAAGTTACCGAGTCCATCGGAAACAGGAAGCAGGTAGTCTCTTGCGCGTTCGTGCGACTGAAGTTAAAAACCCTCCCTCTCGAGTCAGAGATACCGGCAAACGTGTTCCACCTCCATGCCCTGTTCAACGATTTTGCTAACCTCACTTATATTCCACATCTTCCCAACTTGCAGCATTTAGATTTAAAGTTTAACAACATTGAAACTGTCTCGTGGATGTCATTAAGAAATATGCCGTCTTTAGCCTTCCTTTACTTATCCTTCAACAGAATCTCTCATGTAGATTTGAGTGAGGTTATCAAAAATCTCACAAAACTACAGTTCGTAGATTTATCGAGCAACATGATCACGTCAGTCTCTGAAAGACAGTTGGGACTTCCCTTCATCAAGCAGGTTAATCTCAACCACAACCCTTTTCGTTGTGATTGTGCGATGTTGTGGCTGATGGAAAAACTAAAATGTTTACAAGGACATGTACGTAGTTCAAGTGCGTTTTCGTCTTACTGCTCTCAGTGTGATACCTGTTTTCTCATATATCGGTTTCGCCAGAACAGTCTTGCATGTGATAAGGAGGGCATCCCTCTAACACGCGTAGCCCTGACTCAGTCAACGTGCAAGGAAGAAACAACGACCACAAAAACGACATCCACAGCAAAATATGTCACGAGTACAACTGCTTCTGCTTCTACCACTCACGAGTGGAAAAATTCGTACGAAGCCACCCCTCCGTTTCTTCGAGCTCAAAGTAGCACCAAGAACGTACCACCTTCTGAAACAGAAAACTCTGTAGCCCAAAATACTACTTTCCAGTCTGGTAGCTTGTCTGAGAGAAAGAAAAGAAGAGTCAGCAACATTATCTTACACGTTCTAACCTCCCTCTCGGCTAGTTTGATGGCGCTTCCCTTTGTCTACGTTCTGGCCATAAGACTGATCCAAACAATCCAGTCTCGAATTTCTCACGAATGTGACACTGGTGCAGTTTCCTACGACGCAAGGCTGCACTGTGTTACACTCCCCACATCCACCACACCGTATCATATCAGCAGTGGTGCCGGCATACTGCAGCTGCCAACTACCGGGAGGTACCCAATCTACCCCGGGACTTCAGGAACAGATTCTTCGGCGTTATAAGCGACCATCCCCGTCCGGACAAACTAGCCAACCCCGGTGATTTTGCTGGGACAATAAGACGGATACAACTTTACATATCAACGTGTGATTTCAAGCACGTTGTCCTATTATTATGCACTGATGGTGATGTATTTGACGTATTCAACGAACATTTTGTGATTCATAAATTGTATTGAGAGACGTTTCTGTAAAGGATATATGGTAAATATTTGCCCTTATGTTTTAACATATTGTAATTGCTGTAACTACTTTTTATAGATACCACTTTAACATATTTACAATATGTCGTATATTGTTAAATAGAATTTAGAGACAATGTAGGTCTGAATTTAATCTGTCTCAAAATTCTCTCTCTCTCTCTCTTTTTCTCTCTCTCTCTCTCTCTCTATATATATATATATATCCTATACGGCATTAGAAATGCATATATATCATGCAAATGTAATT